CATGATCACATGCACAGGCTTCCCTTCTTTGGCCAGCTGAGTGGCCCTGCCAGCTCTAAAAGCTTTGAATCCAAACTGCTCACCATTAGGGATCTGCAACATGCTCAACGCTCTGCGAAAGAGTGCAAGGAAGTGAGCAGGAGAGCCATGAAACAACCTGTCCCCCGCATTAAGGTTTTTCAACAGAGGCGCGAGCCCATGAGGTGCACACAAAATGTCGCCACCTGATTGAAAACATGAGCATGGCCGAGACATGAGAGATCCTCCTGGGCGATTCTTCCTCTTTCGCAGGCGAACATGTAAATGGCCATCATGCAGCACGACAGCAGAATGCCTTCCCGCTGGGAGTTCATGCAGCTCAGACATGTTACCTGCCTGAAGCGGAATGGCTTCAGATTGCACCCTGAAAAGAAATTGCCAAGACATGAGAAAAAGAAGAGCAGCGTCTCTGAATTCAGGCAATCTTGTGCAAAAGGACACCAGCTGCCGTGCCGCAACATTGTCCAGCAGAAGCTGTTGCTTGAGACATCCTGGGCCATGAGTAATCTCCAACTTTTTCAAGCCGACCAGCGCCATTTGAAATTGAGGCCCATGCCAGCATAGAGAAAAATCATGCAAACGGCATCCCCAAGCGACTGCCCCTACATAATTTGCAGCTGTGCCAGCACATCGGAAAACAGAAACGAACTTCAAGACATCAGCAATAGATTTCGGAGGAAGTGTGGATTCCCGCGGGTACCCCAAAACAGCAACAGCAAACTCGTGCCATGCCCTCAGACCTGACGCGGTTGAAGCTTTACTGCCTTGACGGGATGCAATTTGGAGGGTCATAGCTCTGCTCTCCATTGTCGACATTATGTCTGCATTACAGGATGTTGCAAGCCGTGCAATGTTCGCTCGAGGAGTGTCTGTCGGGAGGATTGCAGGAGCCTCGTCATGCTTTTCAATGCACAAGCCAGCCACTTCCATAGCAGAACCTGATGTAGGAATTTGCTTGAGAACATCTTGCGCAAATCGCGCTCGCTTCACTCTTTCTTGTTCACCAGCTGCCCGCACAGCCTTTGCCAACATTGCTTTGCATCGGTCATTCTGAGAGAACTTAGCAGCTACCTCAGGGCGGAGGCCATCTAACTGCCCTGGGCTGCGAAACCCACGTCCAACAAGCTGCAGCGCAGACTTATAGTGCCATAATGTCAGCTGGTCATCGTCGTCCATGGTCCTCAACCACTCTGCCATATGCTGCACCTTGTCCTTGAAATCGGAAGCGACACACCCTGCAAAAGGATGGCGGGCTTTAGCAGTCTGGCCTCGAAGAGCTTTCCAGGACTTGAGCAATGCT